TTTTACTTTTTATGTATAAGGGTAATGTATATTAGTTTTTTCCTTTATGGTTTCAGGGTTTTGTACTTTACCTGGAAAAGTCTTCATTCCAAAATAATTTTTCAATGCTTTTTTTTTTTCCAAATTTCTTTAGTGTTTTGTTTTGTTTTTACATTTAATCTGTGTGTGTGTTGTATGAGAAATGAAGACTCTAGTTTTCTTCCTCCCAAAATGGCAAGCCAGTTGTCCCAATTCTATTTATTGAATAATTCAGATTTCTTTCACTGGTTTCAAAAGCCATCATCATCATTTTGCATTTGCTCTGGTGTCTAGTTTTTAAGAATTGACATATGTATTTGGGTCTTAAATTTCAGTTTGTTTTGGGTCTCTTTCTGTTCTGCCCCATGTTCTGTGTTTTCCACATTGTTTTGATTTCTGTATTTATAATTCACTGTAATATCTTGTTCAGCTAATCTTCTTTAATTACCCTAACATTTTCCTGAAAACTGTCACATGGTTGTTTTTCACTAAGAACTTAGAATAGCTAATCTAAGTCTCCTGTAACTGCCAAAAGTCCTATTGAGTTTTTACTGGGATCACATTAAGTTAAACTGATAGATTTATTTAAGGAAAATTTCTATCTTTTCATAAGGTATGTCTTCCCACTTATTTGAGTGTTTTTTAAAATCACTTAGAATAGTTCTAAAGTTTTTAAAAATTAAGCCCTGCATATTTTTTGTTAAATATATTCCTTCCTCCCATTTGTCATTGTTGGTATTATATATATTATATTGGTATAATACACCAATGTATTGGTATTATATATATGTTATATATATATATATATAAATTTAAATATATATTAATTTTTTTAATGTTTATTTATTTTGAGAGAGAACGTGCAAGAGGGAGTGTGAGCAGGGGAGAGGCAGAGAGAGAGGGAGAAAAAACCCCAAGCAGGCTCTGTGCTGTCAGCACAGAGCCCGACCCAGGGCTCGATCTCACAAATTGTGAGATCATGACCTGAGCTGAAACCAAGAGTTGGACACTTAACCAACTGAGCCACCCAGGTGCTCTCATTGTTGATACTATAAATGGAATCTTTCCTCCCATTAAATTTTCTAATTGGTTATGGTTTACATATAGGAAAGTTTTTACTTTTTGTGTTATCTTCAAAAGCTGACTGGATTTTCTTATCATTTTTAATAGTTTTCAGCTGATTATCTCAAATCCCTTTATTAGCTACTGATGTTTTCTGAGATGAACTGGTCCAGTATGTAAATAAACGAGAATTTAAACAAAAACCTTAAAAAATAAAAAACTGTAATAAAAAACATTAAAAAGAAAATGAACTGGTCAAGATGTGCCTTTCTCATTTTTAATCAATGCTTCTACTTTGTCTAATAGAGTCCCTAGTTGTCTGCAGGAGGAAAGGAAATAAGTGTAGTAGGGGCTTGTCTAGAAACATCTAACAAAAGAGAATTAAAACAGAATGCTGACTCTGTTTGTTGATATCACAAACATGAAAAGAAGCACCTGATGCAGTTTACATGAGGGGTAGTTAATGCCAGAGAAGTTATACAATTGGCATAAGATTAAACAGTTGTGGAAAGAGGCTCCTTCCCTACTCTGCTATTTTAAAAGCAATCAGTGTACAGTGTTTGGGTGTAAGCCACTTATAGGATAGATACTGAAAATGTTAAATAGTTAAGTACCCCACACTCTCACTGCAGAAATGAAGTAATGCTTTTGGTATTTTAAGAGAGATAATAGTGCCAAAGCTGAAACCGAGAAAATGACATTACCCCAGCACATGAGGCTAGCACAGTAATACAAGCAGGACCCTTATTGGATATAGTGCTCTCAGGAGCTGGTCTTTAATATATTGGTGGATGGGTCTATAGCTATGTATGAAGGCCAGAGAAGGTTCCAGAACCTCAGCATGTGGAGCCAAGCATTAACTCAAGAATAAACCAAGCCCTCAACCTTAAGAATGCTGGTGGTAAACCAGAAGATTTTCTACCTGAATCACAAACATGATTAAGAGGATAATGGATGGAGAAGATGGGTGATTACGTCTGAGAGGAAATGAACATTTCAGACCACAGCCAAACCCTTCGTTTGATGGTGGCAGATTTATATTATGTTGCTGCCAAAAGCTTTTTACCTGAAGTCAAGGAACAAGTTGCACTGGCTGTGACCCCCAGACTAGCTCCGCGAATCTAGGTGACCTACTCACCAGGCAGAAAGTGAACATGATCACTGTGGTGCTTGAAAGAAAGGAATGGGGAGGAGTTTGTCTCCAGGTGTGGGGAAGATAGGAAGGAACATTCTAGAGACTGAGACTGGAAATGTGGGTGTGGACATGGTGACTGCATGACTTGGGGTCTCCATGTACCTCAAGTCCCAGAGATTCTCTCACTCTAGCCGTGGTTAGTATAATCCAGATGGGCCAAATCTTCTTTCTTAAAAAAATTTAAGAAAAAAATTTTTTAATGTTTTATTTATTTCTGAGAGAGAGAGAGAGACACAGCATGAGTGGGGGAGGGTCAGAGAGAGACGGAGACACAGAATCCGAAACAGGCTCCAGGCTCTGAGCTAGCTGTCAGCACAGAGCCCGACACGGGGCTCAAACCCACAAACCGTGAGATCATGACCTGAGCCGAAGTCAGATGCTTAACCGACTGAGCCACCCAGGCACCCCCAGATGGGCCAGATCTTCTGGTTCTGACTCTTGTCTTACAGAGAGAGAGAGAGGAGAGAGAGAGAGAACTGTGTCCATTGAAAACTTTGCCATAGCAAAGAAAATATATGCCCCCTTCATTGATGTGTCCCCCTGGGCTTGAACCAGGGGGTTGAATTTACAGGGAAACAGTGGTACAGCTCAAGACAGGGATGACCCCTCTGCTCACATCAGGAGGGAAGGTGCTCTCTGACAGGAGTGAGCAGGCCTGCACTGGGGACCATTTTGACGGTATGTATGCGGGGGGGGGGGGGGGGGGCGCACATGTAGAGGAATCTTAAGCATCAAAAGTGTGTCTGAACTTTCCAGCCCTTAAGAAATCTCTCAGCCATGAGATTCTGCAATGTATATATAATCTTAGTTGTGATTATTTAGCTTGCTTCTATAATAATAACAATTATTAATATTACTCTTATTATACTTACAATTTTTGAGTATTATATGCCAGGCAGTGTGGTGAGCTTTTTAGATGCATTATCTCTGTCATTTCCCATTCTATAGATAGGAAAACTGAGTCTAAGGGAGGTTACCAATATCTCTAAGATCGATCACGTAGATAGCAAGTGGCAGAGCTGGGATTCAAACACTGTGCTGACTGCATAGCCGTTGAGCTATACTTAATGCCCACTTTTTTCAAATTTTTTTATTTTTTTACTATTGCAAACTGATAAAGCTTATAGCAGTTTTACAGTCTCAGGACATTACTACTTATAGAAAAAGGAAGGCTTTATCCTTTCCGATTTTTCGATGTTTATTTTCTTAAGAGAGAGACAGAGCTTGAGAGGGACAGAGGGAGAGGGAGACACAGAATCTGAAGTAGGCTCCAGGCTCTGAGCTGTCAGCACAGTTTGGGGCTCAAACTCTCAAACTGTGAAATCATGACCTGAGCTGAAGTCGGACGCTCAACTAACTGAGCCACCCAGGCGCCCCTACCTATCCTTTTCAATTTTTATTTGTTTGTTTGCTTGCTCTAAAGAATATTGAATTTGAATCAGACTCTGATAGAGACAAGTGCATGATCACAGATTTTGAAGCTTAAAATGATAAACTGGAGTGTAGTAAGAGCTTAAGCCATCATGAAATCACAGAGAACTATAAGTACCAGGGTCACCAACAACTTAACATTTAGACGGCTGATCAGAATAATCAAAGAGAAGAAAGAATTTGGTGCTCATTCATTTCTTTCGTTTTCAATTCAACAAATATTTATAAACAGAAACTATGCTGGAATGCAAAAGAAGATATACTGATTACATTTCTTATCAAACACAAGCACCCATTCAGAGATGTTAGTGCAGACTCTTCTCTGCTTCCTTACCAAGCTTAAAGAAGCATCTTTTTTGTCCCTAAAACTACATCTTACTCTTTCTTGATATAATCAAAATGACTATTCTAACTGGCTGATTGCCACAGTAATCTTTCAAATAAACACAAGCATACCTATTTTGGGTACCAATTGCCGTTTTTACCATTGAAAGGAATTACTAGGATGCTCGAGGTTCGGGAATGGTTCAGGAGGAAGGATAGGAAGGCTGCGCTGCTAGAGGAAGGGATGAGGGGATGGAAGAGGAAATCTCTAGAAAGCTCCAGACTGGAAGCAACTCAATCAGGATAGTGACCATCCCAGATAAGTGTACTTGAAACTGCATCTTTCACAGACCTCTTGGGATATCATGGGAGATACTTCAAAATAAAACCTTAATGATGTTCAGGAGAGTAGAGTAATAAGGTGCAGCCCCCTATGGACATCCTAGCTCCAAATGCAAGGACCAGGGTGTTGGCCAACTGGCCTCTGGGGGATGGGACCATATGTGATCCTAACACTAGGATCGTAGGCTCCCCCGAAGTGCTTAACACCTCATAAATTCCTCCCCAATACAGTCCTACCTTCTGCAGGGAGGGGAGCGCTGCAGAGGCATGAAGCTCTCTCTAGCTACCCCATCATCTCTGAGCAGGCAGTTTCTGGTACCACCCAGCCCTCCTCCAGGCCTCGCGTAATCAACTCACTTACACTTCATGTCCTCTTGGCCGTCAGGAAGAAGGACTTATTTCTCTATCAGCCCCATGGCTCATGTTCTGCTACAAAATTTTCTCAATACACCCATAGGAAAGCCTCTCCTCCTCACCGCACCCCTCAGCCCTTCGCCACCACTCTCCTCCTGCCCCACTACATACACATCCCCATGCAGACAGACTCAGAGCTGGGATCCAAGCATCCATGAGTGATGGGGAGCAAAGCCTAAGGCTCAAGAGAATGGAGAAAGTTGTGAACACTCACCAAGTGCAAGGTGTCAGCCTTCTGTGTCTGCCTCTGTCGGCTCTTTTGGGCCGCAATGCGATTTTTCTCCCGCCTCTGGACTTTTCTCACATCATCAGATGAGTCCTGGGAAGCAGACAAGGTGGGAACGGGGTGAGTGTGCCCCTCTCTTCTGAGTTATAGCAGGTTCTCACGCCGTTTGGTATCTGTCCGTCCATTCTCATATTTCTTCATCTTTTCATTTGTGCCCATTCACCTCCTACTTACCAAAAGGCTGAGCCCAAAAGAAAACCGTTCCCCACGCTCTGTCACACTCTCTTACATCTACTTAGGTATTTTGGCCAAAAGCTACAGGAAGAAGAAAAAGACCCTGGGGCCTAGATAGGGCTGTATTTGGAAAAAATTGGTTAAGGCGATGAAGTGTGTTTCATCACCCCTCCTCTTCAGGGCTGCTCCACCCTTACTCTTTTTGGCCTAGAATTTTCTTGCTATGTTTTTTCAAAACTTCATTGACACCTACTATGTGCCGACTTCTGTGAAAGTGCTTTTTCAGAGGCGCTCTTGCTTTAAAAAGTTTTTTTTTTAATGTCTACTTATTTTTGAGAGAGAGAGAGAGAGAGAGAGAGAGCACGCGCAAGTGGGAAAGGGGCAGAGAGAGAAGGAGACCCAGAATCCGAAGCAAGCTCCAGGCTCTGAGCTGTCAGCACAGAGCCCGACACCAGGCTAGGACCCACGAACTGTGAGATCATGACCTGAGCCGAAGTCAGACGCTTAACTGACTGAGCCACCCAGGTGCCCCAGAGGTGCTCTTGCTTAATTCCTCAATTCTGTGAAGTTGATATTATCGTTTCTATCTTACATGTGAGGAAACTGAGGCTAAAGGGCTTACCCAAGAGCTCACAGTAAGCCAGGACTTACATGTTCTGCTGCTAAGTCTGATGCCTCTCCAAGCCACTCCCCACCCCTCACTGGTTTGTACCCATATGACATCTGCTACATGGCTGGGTTGAGGTCCCATCACAGATCTGCCTCTCTTTCCCCCTTCATTCTCTTCATTATGCTCAATGTGACCTTGACATTCCCCATGGCCCGTAGCACAATGCCTAATACAAACGAGAGGCCAAAAACAGCTTTAAGGGTGGAGATTACCCAGCTGTGGCAGATTGCCGATGGGTGCTTAGCAGGACAAGAGGACCTCTGGGTTGTCCTCTAAGTATATCCCACAGATGGGCATGTCCTCTGCTTAGGCAGAGAGGTGACCTCCAGCTGCCCCCCAGGCGCTGCAGGATAAGGGTAGGAGGCTGAGTAAAACCCTTCCACCACCCCCACCCTCTTCCCGCTCAGGCCCACACAGGCAGAGGGGCACTGCTCCCGGGGCAAGACTCTGTCTCACCAGCATGCCCAGCACTTCCAGGCCATTGCGGTAGGAGGGCATCGGGTTAGATGGGAAGGAAGTGCTTTGCTCGAAGGGGCATGGGGAACCAGATCACTGTGGAAGCCATGAGTAATTTCCTTCCTAAGAAGAATACAGACTTCCAGGCCACCTGAGCCACCTGATGCCATCTGGAGCCGAGGACTGGACCGTTTGCCTTCTAGAGGTCTCCGCTATGACTTCTCCCAACCTGCTGCTCTTCTGGGCAGCACTCATGACACATGCTGTATTATTTGTTTATGTACTTTTATTTTGGCTGCAGCATCTTGAAAGCCCTCTTGGATATCATAAATTATGTGAAAGGAAGAGTGGCTTTTAAACCACAGAGTTGGGGGAGATATTTTAATCCCTTGATGTATTGGGTGAGAATGAAGAAGCCTTTCTATAGAGAGGGTGTCAAGGAATGTGGTGAAGAGAAAGCTCCAAAAGTTTTGGGGCGGGGCGCCTGGGGGTGCGGGGGCTCAGTTGGTTAAGCGGCAGACTCTTGGTTTTAGCTCAGGTCCTGATCTTGCAGTTCATGGGACTGAGACCCACGTAGGGTTCAGCACTGACAGTGGGCCGAGCCAGCTTCTGATTCTCTCTCCCCAGTTCTGCCCCTCATCAGCTCATGGTCATGCTCTCTCTCGAAATAAATAAACAACTTTAAAAAAATTTAAAAACAAACCAAAAAAAAAGCTTTGGGGCAGGTAAGGTGCCCTTTTTTTTGGCAACCCTCAAGCTGAAAACTTTTGATTTAGAAGTCACAATCTAGACTCCAAAAGGCTCCCAGACTCTCTCCCTCCATCGCTCTGGTGTCCCCAGAGCTGAGCTGAGCTGAGCTAATAGTGAATATCTCCAGCAAGGTCCAATACCGCCTCCTGACTGATTCTTTCCTCCTGTCCAGTGGCCACGGGGAAAGAGGCTTCAGTTCCAGCCTCCCTCTGTGCTCGTAGATTCTTCTGCATCTGCCTGGCCTCCTCCTCCTTCTAACTTGCTCTTTTTCCTTCTTTGCTTTTCCCTGAGGCTTCTCTCTCTGGCCCTGAGAGAAGAGAGAAGCAAAACCACATGCAGGGGCTGGGTGTGCCAGCGGCCTCTGTAAAACTGTGCCTCTTGGGGTTCTCCTGCCTTGGAGAAAGGTGGACCCTCTCCTTCGAGAGACAGGGTTCTTGGATGCAATTCTCCTCCTGGCTTCCTAGAAAGCTTCACCGGGTAAGGACCCAGGTGAGGTGGAGTAAGTGCACCCCGTCCTATGTGCCAACAGCTCATTGCAAAGACCACGTCTAAGTCTGACAGAGTGTCCCTGTCACCAGCCCCTCGGTGCTCCTGGGCTCCCTGGGCAGGCCAAGGAAGCCTGGCCCTCCCGCTGCTGCCCACCCCCGCAGAATCAGAAGGTGGGTTGCAGGGAAAGGGGGGCTCTACCTGTTTGCCGGGGGGAGGAGAGCGGCTGAAGCTGGAGTCGCTGCTGTCGGAGCTGTGAGGCATGGCTGCAGTCTTCCGGGCCCTCCACACAGCCCCGGACGCCTGTGGGCTCTCCTGTCACCAGCTGGCCTCCCTTCCTGGCTGCTCCCGAGCCACCAGCCCACCCCCCTGCACAGGTCCCTCCTCTGCTGGGCCTGCAGCCACCTCTGACCCCCGCGTCCTCCTCGCTCTGGGGTGCAGAGGCACTGCTCCCCACAGGGACATGTCGCTCGCTTTGGGGCTCGTGCGCGCGCTCTCTCTCTCTTGTGGTTTCTGGTAACTCACGCTGGAAGTCACATGGGCGGAAACTTAAACAAGTTAGAAGTTAATTTGAGAGAAAATACATATCTGGGAAAAGACCCACAGAATTATATGAAAGGAAGAGAAAAAAAAATACACAAAACCCCAGATACCTTTCGACTGTTTGAAAGGCAGAACAGCTCTCTTCAATTGATGAAGATGAAAGAGAAAAACAGCCGAGGCAGGGAAAAACCCCAGCCAGAATTAGCAAGTCCGTCTCCTGTCAACAGGGCAGAAGGGAGAGGGAAAGAGTTTCCACTGTTAGCCGACTTGAGCTTTAAACCAAAATAAAGTACCGAGACTGGGATTTCTTTCTGGTTTTTACCCGAAAGCAGCTACCCGTCCCGTCCTGTGGCGGGCCTTCCTCACCCCTCTGTCCGGGCAGCCTGGTCCTTTCCCGGCCACCACACAGAAGAGGCCCCGGGAGATCTGAATGCCACCGGTGGGCTCTAGAGTTGATGGCTCAAATATCTATTCGTCACCTAGGCCTCTTGGCAGCGGGCCGTCTTTTGGAAAGAGATGCGTCTCATGTTAAGGGTCTTTCAGGATGGCTTTGATTCTTAATGATTCGAGTAGGTCACCAGGTCAAAGCCCAGAGTGGAGGAACAGTAGGAAATCGTGAACAGAGCACCATGCATGGAGTCACACCAACTGGGATTTGCATTCTGTCTCTAGCTGAAGGCCTGTGGCCCCAGGGCAGCTCACCTGAGCTCTGCACCCCTCGCTATCTCCATCTGTAAATGGGGAGGGATAAACCCCGCCCTGTCCACCTCTCAGGGCTGTTTCCAGAAGCAAAGGATAGCAGGGATGAGACTGTAAAAGTGCGCTGTGAAGACAGGTGTTACTTGTAGTGTTACTAGCTTTGCTGTGAGCATGTTTGCAGAGTTCCAAGTAAGCGATCCCACATTCACCTGGGCGTTGTGGCTTTTTTTTTTTTTTTAAGCCCTCGCTTTATTCCCAGTGTGGCTCAAAGCCAAATGCTTGCCTTGCCCCAGCAGGATTAACAGGAAGAATGGCCCTTGAAGGATTTTGCATTGGCTGGCTGGATTTCTGTCCTAAGACAATATCGTCCTCAGGGTAACTTGGGCAAAACAAAATTCCTTCCCTCCTGGAGGTTACATCTAAGTGGAGGAGGGAGGCAGTGAACAAAGAAGCTAATACATAATACAACAGAAGGTGACAAGTGCTGTGGAGAAAAATAAAGCAGGAGGGGGTTAGCAAATTCAGGGGGTGGTAAGAAAGGTCTTACTGAAAGGGGGCATCTGATCGGTGACTTGAAGGAAGGGAAGGAAGGGAGGAAACGTTCCTGCAAGGGCCGGAGGTGTGTTTGGTGTGTTAGAGGAGTAGCAAAGAAGCAGGGAGAGGCAGAAGAGGATGTCAGCAGGTATCAGGGCGAGGTCACATAGGGCCTTGAAAGCCACTATGAAGAGTGGGGCTCTTATTCTGAAAGAAATGGGGAGTCTCAGGACTCACCTTCCCACTTCTACTCTGATTCTCTACCTCCTCCAAGATTAGTTTCCTTCATAGCACATATCAAATTTTGTAACCATTTTACCAGTTTATTTACTTCAGCGTTTTTTTCCTGTTTCCCTCAGAGTGGTAGCTCCATTTATGAATTCAATTCAATAAATGTTTATTGAGCACCTACTGTGTACCAGGCAATGTTCTGAGTACCGGAGGTACAGTTAATACTTTGACTCTTTCCCTGGCCCAGATGGTGAGTCAGTCTGCTTTTGCTACCTAGCAAGCCACACAAAAAAATCCAATGGCTTCAAATAACAACTTATTTAGATCATGAGTCTGTGGGTCATCTGGAAGGCTCTGCTCGCAGAGGCTGGGCAAGGCTGACCTTAGCTGGGCTCTGTCTGTGTCCTCAGACAGCTGGTGGGCTGGCTGATAATCCGATGGCCTTGGCTGGGCCGGCTCTGCTCCACATGGTCTCTCATGGCCCCAGCAGGCTCGTTCATCTAGCTGTTGCAGGATTCTAAGAGCAAGCACAGAGGCGTTCAAACCTCCTGAGGCCTGGGCTCACAATTGGCACAGCGTTCCTTCCGCCACATTCTACTGGACACAGAAAGTCACAAGGCTGGCCCAGACTCCGCGGGTTGAGAAGCAGACTTCACCTCTCAATAAGCAGGATTTAAAGAATTGTGGCCATGTCTGTAATATCCCACAGGTGAGGAGCCATTGGAGGGTTTAAAGCAGAGGAGTGATGAGCCCTAACTTGGGCGCAGATCTTTGCTACTCCTGTAACACACCAAACAAGATCCTCCTGGATGCAGTTGAGATTTTAGGCGAGCAAAGTGGAAGTAGGGAGACCAGTCAGGATCGCGGGATTGGATTATTATTATTATTATTATTATTGCAATAATCCAAGTAAAATGTGTTGGTGGCATACACAGACCAGGGAAGCAGTGATTAAGGTGTTAGGAAGGGAGCCATGTAAAAACCAATGACTGTGTCTTTCTTGTTTACAGTCGCATGCTCAGTGCCTACAGGTGCCTAATCATAGTTGTCAAGTGAGTAATGTATGAATGAATTCCCTTAGAACTTTGCTCATACTTGGGGCACTTATCATGACCTGTGTTATCCGAGATCTTTTCTCATCCCTAGTGTATAGAAAGCTCTATAAGGATAAAAATGGTCATATTTATGTTTTATTCAGTTTAATTTAGCATTGATTAATACCTATTATATAGCAGGAATCATAAATAGGAGTAACACAGAGGCCCAGCATAGAGAAAAGGGGAGGTAGTCAGCCACACAGGTTATTTAACGTGTTATAATGTCCAGATGAAGTTCTTTGCTCTTTGAACATTCTATCATTCAATAGTAAATACTTGTTGGATGAAAGATTGCTTGATTCTGTGGTTCCAAATCAATATACTGAGTTAATGTTTAATGGAGACTATATAGAAAACAAAATGGAAAATTAGTTCTTACGTGGAAAGGCAGTCTCTTTCAATAGTATGGATTATAAATTATTTTTACATATTTAAGATTAAAGAATAGACACTTGTGTATCCACAAGCTTAAGAAATACATTATGAATAGAACTGAAGTCCCCCATATATCCCTTTCTAACCTCATTCCCTCCTCACCCAAGGAACCATTTTCCAGAATATGGTCTTCATATTACATACATTTCTCTACACTTGGACCATATCTATACATATACCTGAAGCAATACATGCATGATTTTAAGCTCTTTTATATTGTCAATATTTTTACATTTAATTTTTATTTTTTTATTGCACAGCATGTGAAAGGTCATGGCAAGGCTTGGGATATAGGCACCCCCCTGAGATTATTCTGGAGAACTCCACAAAGCTACCGAGTAACAGCTGTACCACAGCCAGCATCAGCTCAGTCAACATCAGCCCAAAGCCTCAGGACAATGCTAGGGTAGCATTTACTAGACAGTTAAATCACTTATGCTGACAACTAACACATATCAGGACAGTTGCTGGTTCATGCGTGGTACAATCTAGAAAACAGTGCCACCTCTTGGTAGGCAATCTCAGGCCAAAGGACATGGACTGGTGAGCCCCTACTTGACTTGCAAGATTGGAGCTCTTGAACAGTGAATAGTTCGCATAACTGTGCCCTGCCATCCTTACTATATATCACTTACTATGTGCCCAGACACATAAGTGGGCTCATTTAATTCTCACAAGAGTCATAGAAGGTAATATTTCCTCCCATTTTCTGGGTGTGAAATTCTGAGGCACAGAGAAGTTAAGCACTTTTGCAAGGTCACACATGGCAGCTGAAATCCCCAGCATGATCAGTCCGAGAGAGAGACACAGAGACAGAGAGAGACAGAGAGAGAGAAGGGGAGAGAGAGGGGGGAGGAGTATGTGGCAGTCCCTTTTTTTGACCCAGTCCCCCAAAGCTTCTGCTTTGTTATATTCGGTGGAAGTGAGACTCTAAGTCCAGCCCACACACGAAGGGAGGCAAAGGAGCCTCCAGCTCTTGAAGGGAGGAATATTCAAGAACTAGCAGGCATTTCTGAAAACCACCATACTTCCGAAACTGCTCTCTGAGGGACGGTTAGCTGGGTGCAGGCAGTCCGCTGTGAGACCAGGCGGAGTCCAGGGGCAGCGTCCTGCCCCTTCCTGGCTCTGTCTCCGAGTCACTTTACGACTCTAGGAAGCCCCTTTCCCTCTCCCCGAGTGTGAAGTTGGTGGAAGGGAATGAAAGAGAGGAAATGCTGCAGTCTACTCTGTGAATCTAAGTTTAGCAAAGGAGAAAACCTCATCTCATTAGCTCACAACCGGCTCTTCTCAGGGTGAGGGCAGCAGACCCTGTGGCCAGGCTGGCCTACAAGCCCAGCTCTCCACTTATCAGCTGCTGACCTTGAGGCTAAGTTACTTAACCTGTCTGTGCCTTGATTTCCACATCGATAAAATGGGAGAATATAACACTCCCAATCTCCTAGGATTATTACAAGGAATGAAATCAATTCAAACCCGTCAATTCCTTAGGACAGCGCCACAATTTGAGTCTTCGTTAAACAAACAAAATTGTCCTGCTCTAAATAAACATGAGCTACGGAGAGCCTTGGAGCAGGCTGCTTTCGGGAGTACGTTCAAGTAATTTCTAACCAAGGATGACACACGTGACAGCCTGGATGGCACGGGCATCTAGCGGTCAGAACAACATCTAGCGGTCAGAACAGATCCGGCCGCTGCTGCACCGAGCAAATATAACCCTTGAGGTGCTGGATCGCCGGAGGCAGGAAAGACAGTAGTCCTGAAGGAGGAGGGGAAGGGGGAAGTGGGGGGAGGGAGAACTCTAAGAATTTAGGGCAGCAGCTATTTGCCAATCTCTGCGTGTTTTAACAACCGCTGTCACAGTACCAGTGCCTGTCGATCAGCCTTGTTTCAAATGAGTAGGTTGTGTTGCAGGTAAATGGGCTTCTTAAG